TCGCATCTCGCTTTTATGTTTTTCATGTTTCTAAAGTTCATATAAGCATTTATATACATACAACTTTACGAAAAAGATAGATCTGAAGGAATGTACTTTTAAAAACACAAAACGCAACTCGTCGTTGAGTGGAATTCAGGAATTTGAAATATTTTTTTGCAGCTTTCGTACCGTCGTCGTATTTGTCGTTGTTGCTTTTGTGTTCTATGTTTCAAGCATAAGCATATATCTTGACATGTATGTATATAATGTATAGGAATATATATTTAATTTAACCTTTCTCGCAACATCTCCTTTCCTTCACTCTTAGATTAATTGAAACAAAAACGACAAGGAGAGAGAGACAGTGGAAAAATGAGTTGCTGAGTGGAACTAAACTTTCACATTCATAAAACGACTGCACACATAATATCATGATTCTTGAAAGGCATTTCGGCAATTGCTATAAAAGATATATTTCGAAATTATACTCCGCAAATACTTGATGTTATCAATTTTTGGCTTATTTATTAATAATGGGAGGGAACAATCTTTATGCGACATATTACATACACCGGAAAATATTTGATGAAATTATTTCCCTTAATGACATTTTTGAGATATTACTGTGCTACTTTATTAATGCTGCTGTCATGAGTATAATGGAAAATCAAATTATTTTTCATAATGTAGCGAAAAGTATTTCATTTGATATTCGCGCATTTTTGTCTGTCTCGAGTCTTCTTCATTTTACTTTATTTTGTTATGAAACCTAAATTGATACTTGTTGGAGTCATGATCATATTTTTGAGTACGATTATTGAGAAATCTTTTTATTAACAAAGTAAGTTCGACAGTTAACATTGAAATATCAACATTTTGAGATATAAATACAAAGTTTAAGAATTATTAAAGGAGAAAAAGATGAACTTACTCAAATGTGTAATGAAGAGTTATAAAAGATTCATACATGTGCTGATATTTAAAGAGACACGCGTAGAAAACTTCAATCATTCATTCAACTAACTTTTCACCGTCATTTTAAGTAATAATTGGTTAGAGCTGATTTTAATACATTGTCGAATCTATCGGCACGATCTTTGATAGAGATGGTCAATCGAGAAATTGCGATGTGAAGAAATTTATCATCATCAGAGAGCAATGATGAAGCAGAAACAACAAGAATGGTAAATTACGACTCAATTATAGTTCAATTTATGTCATATTTCAATTTTTCATAGTCATGACTACAGGAAAGAGAGGAGACAGCGAATCATTATTATTATTATTTTTTTATAATTTTTTTTCTATTTTTCGATCACGATTCAATCCATTGCTCTTATGTTCATCTCACTCCGGTTTTAAATGGTTGAAAAGTTTTTAATTTAATTTTGATTAACTGGTTTTGAATTTCGTGAGATTATTAGATTAATTTCAATTAAAATTGAGATGAAAGTGAAGAGTCAGTCGATAGTTTTTATTTCATCAAATCACCGATTAATGTTATCATTACACATACATACATACATACATTGACTTAGTTTTTAATTGATTTAGAAAGTTCAACGACTGAAGAAGATCTTTTTCTCATTAACTTTATGTTTTTCCCTTGAATTAGAGGAGAAAAACTTCTGCAGAACTTTTATGACCAATCAATTGATGCGATATAAACGAATCAGCAATAGAAAAAGAAATCATTTGGCAATTCCTAGAAGGTCTAAAGATTCAAATCTTTCATCATTTAAACGTGTTTTCAACATCTTCTCAGATCTTTTTTTTGCTATTTTGATGGTTCTCTTTTACTCAATTTTTTTTTCTGCTTTTCGTAAAGTTTGTATTGGATCATGTTCTTAATCTTCATGTACTAGAAAATTAATTTAAAAATTTCTAAATCATTCAATAATTTCTGACAGTAAGTCAAGGTAGGAGTTGAAAATAATCAATCAATGCTCGTCTAAGAAACGAGAAGAAAGTTAAAAATCCATTATTCGGTTATGGATTTGCATTATCGTTAAATGATGGTATCGAATGATTTCTGTTCTAATTTCTTTCAAGCTTAAACAACGAACATCATCAAAGAATCAAAAACGATGTTCTTTCAATTTTATTCTCCTTTTTCTACTTACTTCACTTTTATAACTATAAGAATGACTTCTTCCATGGATTCTATGAATTTCTTCTTTAAACCCTATTTGATTTGAATGTATGAATAGAAAAAGATATTCGAATAACAAAGAAAAAACTTATTGGAAAGAGAATAAAAGATGAGAACAATAATATTTCCATCACCATCACTATTATAAAAAAAGTAACAAACTGCTTCGTTAAAACACCTTTAACATATCAAAAATTATCTCTTTCATTTAATTGATTGTTTCTTTTAATTTTTTAAGAAAGCTAAGGTCGTTTAATTCGTTTTAGTTTTAATTTTCTTTCTCTTTATTCTTACATATTTACGTGAAACTTTGTATGCATATCTACAGATATTAATTAACGTTCTTTAATAGATTTCCCATTATTTTCCTACTCATTCCAACAACTGTCAACCGATGGATCTCGAGATTAAAAAACTTGTGTTCTTTAATGTTTATTTCCTAACATCAACAAAATTGTAGAAATGAAGTGCAGCTTGTCGATGATTTTTTCCTCACTCATGATGTTGCAACATGCAATGATAAAACATCTCCGCAAAAAATATTTTAAACACTTCGAGGGAAAACAATTTTCCGTGCAAATAAATCCCCTTCAACGCTTTTATGTGTTCATCAATTTTTTTATTTCCCTCAATGCCAGATATGCAAAATGAAATTATTCAGTTGAAAAAAAGGGCAAAATAGTAAAGTTATAGATTTAAAATGAAAACGTTGATCATGTTAACCAAACAAATAAACAATTTCGATTTATCAAAATACAGAATGTGAATTAATTATGCGTTTTGTGTATTTTTCCATTTGAGTGCCATTTTTGAATGCTGCGCTGCATAGAATTGAGTGCTAATAATATTAAATTAATTTAATTCATTTTTTTATTGTCATAAAGTGGTTTGGAGGTGGATTGAGAAAGCAAAAGTAGTGAACTACTAAGCAATCCCTTTCTTGTTCAAAAAGATATTAAAAAAGCGACGAATGCAGATGAATAAAACCCTTAAATAATTGTATAAATTTGAGTTTGCTTTAGGTAAGCACAGAGAGCTACACTCGACTCAGTTATTAAAATACATTCCATAATTTTTGCGCAAGCAACTTCATAATGAAATTATTTGAAATGTCAGGAATGTTTCATATACTTTCGTCAAACGTTTCCCTTCCGAACATTTATTCTTTTATTTATACGGTTGTAGGGATTAATCGAAAAATTATGCTACGAACGTTTACACAGATATTGTCATGATATTAGTCTGGTGAAGTACGAAACGTACATAGCAGGAGGAACATGTTTCCACTTATGAACGCATTGTTATTTTGTGGAAATACTGCGTCGCGGTGCCAGATGTTTGAGATTCTAGAACTTTTGCTCGATATCATAACATTTTGCTAAGTTATTCAAAATATCCACTAAATTACTTGGAAGATAATTTATGAAAATTTCGGATTCACTCGACACAGAAAAATATTTTCCCTTTATTTTGTTTATTAATTTTAGAAAATCAGAATATGATTTGAAATTTCAGTAAAACAATTCATAATATTTCATTACAATACGTGACCTAATCTTGTAAATAAGTTTTGTGAACATGATTTCCTATCGTTCTAAACAAATATCAATTCCACTCGTGGCTGAAATATTTTGAATTTCATCACATGTTTTTTTGTTTTTTCAGTTTAAAACTTTACAGAAATTGTAAATCTCATGACGTCAAATGCAATTCAAAAAATAAAACACTCATTTTTACTTCGATATTTTCCAACTCCTTCTAACAATTGTTTCTTAAACGAAAGTAGGAAAGGTCACATACATGAAACGTGATTATTTTGAATACAATTTTTTCTCTTTCGTCTTTTCTTTCTATCCAATTCTAAGCCGATAACCTTCAATGAATTTTAAGGTAAACAATGGAAGGGAGGCATTGAATATAACATGCTCGAAGCGTTTCCTTTAAAATTTATTTAAACATTTCACTGACGAACCCTTCCGTGGGTCATTGAACGACTAAAAAGTAAAAACAATTTTCTAAAAATGAGAAAATTTCAATTGAAAAAAAAACTGCAGCATATGTTTGAGTATGTAGTGTAGAAAGATATGTAAGGAGACCATAAAATTGAATTTCATAGAGTGCGTTACTTATGAATGAAAAATGAAATATTTTCAGTTTTATTATATATGAGGGTGCTTGCGCAGTCCAGGTGCAGAGTATTTCATATTGAGGACATTTAAATGCATTACCATTGCTTCACAAATACTTACATTCCACATGCACGACGTCACATATTAACAAACAGTTGTCAGATCGACGATAATGGAATAAATTCAGTATCCTGTCTTCACCCCTTACATTGCTGCTTTGACTAATGATATTTTACTAATATTTGCCAAACTTTATGAAATTCATATAATCAACTGATTTTCAGGACTTATTAATTAAAATATTTCCCCTTTTGTTGACAAAGAAAACTTTTATAAGTTGTCGTTGTGGTGAATAATTTCATTTATGCAAATATGCAAAGGAAGACAACACCAAAGTGTCTTCTGATTTCTCTCCTCTTACCAAACGAATGTAAATCTTTTTCAATGGTAGCAAAGATAAGAAAGCATTCCAGAGAAATGATAATAATTTGAAGTAAGATGAGTGCATCTTTGAACAAATAGTTTCTCTTTGAATATTTAGTGGATTAAAATTGAAAACTCTTAAATCGGTACAATGAATAAATATTTCTGTATCATTTTACATTAAACTCGGACATTTTCGGATATAACTGAGTTGGATAGTAAACTTATTGTTGTATGCATAAAAGCCATCATTCATCAGAAATCATAAAGAATAGAATGCAAGGAATTTAAATTGAATATTCTCTTTCCATATTATGAGCAGAAAAAAAAATGAAAGAAGGAAAACTTTTGCATCTCATTCCCCAACTACCACCCAATTCCATCCAACTTCATTGTCTCTTCTTATAAGAAACTACACTACGAGAAGTAGTTTTCCAATGAAATTACAAATAACATTTCAGACACAATTTGATGATATGGAAAATATTTGTAAAATGTCTCCATCTTTTCTATTTCCTACACAAAAAGCTCGAAAACTTCACAATCGTTAGATTCCCTTCTCTTTATTTTACAACCAAGAACGATGTTAGATATTTGTAGATAATCATAATTTTCTATTTTCATATTACCACATAAATTTCAATTTGAATATGAGTTGCAAATTATTCAGATGAGAAATTTAAACATTTTGCAATTTGAAATTTTGAGTAAAAATGAAAGGAGATGATACAAGGAAGCAACCATACCACAAACAATATATTAAATTTCCTGTAAATGATAGTCCAACTTTTCCCTTAAATATTTAGTAAAGTTTGGGAAGGAATGGAAAGAGAATTGACAAACATGATTGACCGTCAGTTTTTCCACTTGATTTTGCAGCTATTTGTCATAGCTTTGAAATTGTTTGGTAGCTTCACAGACATTTTTAATCATGGACATGGTTTGAAGTTCATTGAAGTGAACACTTACAACGATTTAGCAGTAGTGCAATTTTTTTGTTATCCTAAGAATTCAATCTTATATGAACAAACTCACAACAAATATCAACAAGAAATTCTACCTTGGAAAATCCTTGCAAATGTAAATAAAATTAATTCAGGCATAAGAATGACTGTAATGTAGCCATTCTTAGGAAAGCAATTTCTGAAAGATGAAAATACCTCAAATGCCCATCGTAAGCTATGAAATATGAGACTTGGAAAATGACTGAGAGTAATTTGATTTTTTTTCATTTAAAAGAATGACAATAATTTTTATATTATAGACATTTTCATTTTGTAACAGAAATATTCCAATTGCTACAGCATCTATGAAATGGAAGAAACTTAAACGTGGATTCTGTATCTGACTTTCGCGTTTAAAGATTCTTCGTTCATATCCAAGCGAAAAGGAATTTTTTCATTAGATATTTACAAAAAGTCTTCAATTTGAAAACTTTTTTCCTCTCATTTCTTGATAAAATAAAAATTATCGCGAAAAATTTTTCTGTTAAACTAAACCAGTTGCTAAGTGCTCAAGAAAGAATTAAAAAAAAAGTTTTTCAAGACTTCAGTGAAATTCTAGTTTAGAAATGTCTGAAATGTTTGGTGCTTCAGAAGTTATCATCAAATCAAATCTTAACATAACAAACACTTAATCATTTAACTTGTAACCGGTTAAAAAAATAAACTAAACTAAGGACAAATGACGACCATCGAACAATGATCTCGTTGGTTAATCTCTTTACATATTTCAACAACATAAAAAGTGGCGAGTTACAAATAATATTAACAAGTTTTTAAACTTATGACAATTTTTCTCTTTTTCGTGGCTTCATTCCTACCGAATTGATTTATCGAATGAAAAATGCATTTTTTAATTACTGCCAAACTTATTTTAATTTCATTTTAAAGCACATAATAATTTCATCAAAAATTGCAATTTTCACTGCCTGAGTTTTTAAAAATTAAAAGTCACAGGAATGAACATTTCACTATAGCAACATAAAGTATCATAATAGATAGAAATTTAAATTATTTCCATGGTACGCATTGAGGTTTTTGTGGTTAATTGTTTTATTCATGTTCACTGAAAGCCAAAGCTCATCAGTTTCCATGTTTTATAATTTTTATCTCGCTCAGCTTCTCTTTAAATTTCAGTTTGATATTTCAGCCTTTTTATTTTGTGATTCGATTATATAATAAATGAATAAATGATACGATGATGAAATATTTAGAGACTGTCATCTGTTTTAACGTTTTCGTATTTTGCATATTATGGTGCGTGGGCCACGTTTAACTATGTTAACTTAAATAGTCTTCTAACAAACCAATGCCAAATTAAATGTCAGAGGTAACATCATCATAGCTTTATCCGAAAAAACGAGAATTAAAATCTGTCAACAATGAAGTGATTTGTCCAAAAAAGGAATTCCAGTTTTATTGCGACACTAGGAAACGCAATTGCAGTTCAACAAACAACACGTGTTCACGCTTTTAAATTGCAGACTTTTTTTAGGTAAAATAATTTTTATGCCGTCGCCAAGTTTATCGACTCGCACAGTCGCATAAAAACACGACGAAAGTGTCGACTACTAATGAGATTTCCATTTTAAATATGGCGTCAAACATGTTTTCTAGTTGCTACACATGATTGAATCAGTTTGCTTACTAAGCATTTTGCAGTTCTGCAGTCTGAGGCATTTCAAAATGGTCATATCAGCAGCTATTTAATTTCAAATGAACTACTGTTGACGATACCGTGTAAAAGTAGAAATGTTGCGCAAGTAATCACATTTTTGGAATAATTGAAATTGCTTTGTTAGTTTTACTATAAAATCAGTGAAATTACTTTTATGCATCAATCTATGTTTTATATTTAATTATTAAGCATAAACTATTTATGTTGCTTGACTTTATTTATTTACTTATCTGCTCACTTTTACAAAACTCGACAAATGCTTTTGCAAAATGATTTCATTTTCTATAAAATTACTTTTTCGTTTACCGTTTGAAACTTTACTACGACTCAGCTGGTGTAGTGATCAGCTTGATGATTCAGATGTTGGAAATTTTGTGATTCGATTGAAACTTACCTATAAAGAAATAAAGATAAAAATAATTATAACATTGATTTTAAGTGTTGAAGCTTATTCTCAGATATTAAAAAGAGATGTTAAAGTTTAATTAGACTAATAGTAATAATTTAAATTGTCCAAAGATGGTATCAAAAGCAGATTAAATCCGTTCTAATAAATATAGATGGATACTTTATTTTTTGCTAATGTAACTTTACAAGCGCTGTTGTTGATCGTTCAATTTGTTGTTGGATCTTTTTATGCTTCAACTTCAGACTACATGCTCTCCATATCGTTTATTTGATCAAATTAAATTTTATACAGTAGCAGATCTCACACAAAGGAGAAAATTAAATACGAGTTGGAGTAGCTGCTGCTACAGTAAAAGAAGAATCGAGAGCGAGAATAAGACGCTGAATGCTTTCAAGAAGATTCATTTTACTTATTCCTTTTTCAATCTTTTTTTTTATTTCTTTTCTTCTTCATCTTCCTCATTTCTAAAGAATGAAAACCTGTTTTGATCTTTCGTTTCTCGTTGTCTTTCTTTTCTTGTTTTGGTTACACAATCCGTTGGTGTACATTCATACGGGAGGAAAAAGAAAGAAAGAGTGAGAATAACAAGAAAGTCTAACTTCTTATCATTACGTGAGTACCAACAACACAAAATGCAGTCAGCTTTACAACAAAGTTAACCCAGGTCTCAATAATATTTCAACAGACAGCACTTATAAAACCTTTAAAATACGTAAGTGATCATGAACTATCGGAATTGAAATAAAAAAGAAGCCTTGGAGACTTGACAAGATTATAATTTTCTCAAATTATCATTTATAGTTGCGTGTTGATGCTTCAAGTCAATCACTTACTTTGAATTGAGAAAATTATAACGTTGGAAAATGACAAAAACTAGCACAACCAACGTCTTGAATATCTATTTGCTTGTCCCTAGAAGTCTTTGATAAAACATTGTACTGAAAAATCTTCTTAAGTTTGTGGTCAGAAATAAAGGTCATGTCGAAGTTTGCATATGGTTTCACTCAATTCCACTTAAAAATATATTTTCGATACTCTTTCAGGCGATTTGAATGAATCATCAAGTAAATCGCAATATAATGTAACCGAAGATTAGTTGCCATCGTCGGGCATCTGTTCAAAGATTTTCAAATTTGCTCGTTTTTAACTTTTTCTTAATGTTTTTCTATGGCTTTAAGCTGTTTTATTACCTTTTGATTATGATGATTATGATTTCAGAAAGTATTTTACTTGGGAAAATAATGCTACTGATGCAACATAAAACAATAATAAACATCGCTTCACTTTTGACACGAAATTTTCTTAAGTTTTTGGATTTAACGTAGCAACATAAAGGATCAAAAAACTTTTGATAAAAGAAACAAGAAAAAAGGCAAACTCCGGATGTCGAAAAGATTATAACTGATTGAAAATCGTGCAGTTTCACTTAATTTATTGCACTCTTAAAACCATCGATATACGATGAAAGATTCTTTTTTATTTCAGCTTTTTTCATTCAAGCGAATACGAGAAAAGTTAAGCGATTGAAACGAGACGTAAGGAGCAACGGAAACGTAAATTATTAACAATAAATGATGTTTGTAAATATCGCAACATTGATGTTTTTTTGCCCCATATATGAAGTGAAGGAATTAAATCAGAGACGAAGAAAGAGATATGGGGAAATATAACTCATTGAAAGTTATTTAACTTTACGTTTATTTTGCATTTTGCTATTTCAATATCTTTTAGGTTCGCCTAAGTATCATCGTACGTAAGTATTTTAAATAAATTTTCTCCATGTTTCTATTACATTATTAAAATTCTATTGAAGTAAATTGATGATCGCGCAACCTGGCAGGCAGAAAAGCTACAAATCATTAAAGTAAGAGTCAAGAAAGATGAAATTAGATTATCATTAAATATCTTTCCATCTCACGTCTCTGCTGTAATATTAATGTTGTTATTCAATTCATAAAGCATCTTTCGAACGCACGGGCAAATCAATTTATCATACGAACAGAGCGATATTAATGTTTTCTACTCTTTATCCTTTTTTGCCCTTATCCCGAAAGAATTTCTCAATTGACTGAAAGTCAAAGCGACAACAATAAATTAAATGAAAAGATTGTTGAAAAACAATTTAGAAATGTTTAAAAGAAATGATTCTACTCGACATTGACGTTATCTAAGCTAAATTGATCTTTATTTAAATTAGGTATTCGATGAAATATTTACGCCGTTTAATTCTTCATGTGCCATTCTTCTTCGACAATCGAAATCGTCACTTGAAAATGGGTTCGAATGCCATAAAAACTTCCAGTCATAAATTTATTCATTTTACATCGAGAATAAGTCGAGAAAGGGCTTTTTCCAACCATTACAATGATTTTTACTTTACTTTCTCTCAAGACATTGTTTTTCGTCCTTTATTGAGAGATTGAGAGAAATGTTCGTTCGGTCGTTCATTTGATGATGGTGAATGGGAAAATCGATAAAGACAATATCGAAAGTCTTCTTTATTGCTGATGTTGACATAAAAGGAATGGCTTTTAGATCGATTGAGAAATCCCGAAATGAGGTTTAGTCATTAAGGAATAAAACTGTTTAAGTAGCAAACATTTAATCTTCATTCTATTAATCATAAAAAAGATGAAATTATCTTTAAAACCCCAAACTGTTTAATAAAAATTGTTTTGATTTTTTTTTGTTTTTAAATTTGACTTCCGATGTTGAGCATGAAACAATAAAGAAAAAAAATTGATTCGATAGCAATAAATCTGGGGAGATAACCCAATATACACGAAAGAGGTTGCCATCATCATGAACCAACCACAAAAAAAAATATAAAAAAGAACAAAAAATCGGAAAAGAGGCGACACTACAATAATCTATCAAGAAAATAATTCGATTTTCATCCCTCGGTGTATAGAAGGGAAGAAAAGTTTTTTATTTGTTTTTCTCGAGAACAATTCCTTAATTTCCATCCTTCTGCACCCTCCTCAACCTGACAGAAGATTTTTTTCTTTCTTTCTTTTTTTAAGATGAGTTCTAAGAGGATAAGTTTGGGATGACAACAGAACAAATTTTGTGCAAGCGTCGTTAAAGATTTGGACATGAAGTTAAAAGTTAAAGTAAGCTTTTTGTCAGGCAGATAAAATTATGCAAGAGATTTTTTAATTTCAAATTGATCACTTCTCATGCTGTCTTTTACAGCTCATAAAATTTCTGCAGTTTTGCCATCAGATGGGAAGATCTTGTCAAGCTAATGAAGTAAAGGACAAGAAAAGAAATTTCGCATTAAGATAGAAAGTGAAATTTTAATTTTTTATCGTCTCAAGGCGATTAAAAATCTTTCTCAATTGCAAGCGCATGTCCAATAAAATTCATAACATTTTATTAATTTTCTTTCATTCTTACAGCTAATACAATGAAGAACATGAACAGTTTAAACTCTTCCACTTGCTACTAGGACATTTTAACAAATAGTGGACTTCCAAATGTTCGCTTCTTCTCGAAACTCGGAGACATGATAAATTGTACGCTTTGGTTTTCTCCTACTCGTTTATTCATGTGTACATGGATTTTTCTCTTTTCCACTTTTCCGAGCACATATTTTTCTTTCACAACTTTGTGTTCCATTGTTGAGAGGAAGACTTTGCGAATATAAATCCAAAAAAAAAAGGAAAAGAGGGAAATTTATTCAACAAGAAAAGTGCTCTTCAAGCGATTGGAATTTTTCATGGAAAATTTAACTCAGCTTTTATCTCGCATTTCATCGTCGGACAAGAATTTCTGATACAAGGGAAAAAATCTAGAAGGAAAACGATGCATTTTAATTGAATTTGAGTTGAATTCGTTTAAGTGTGGAAAAGTTTTGAAGGTAAAAAGTTTTATTTTGTTACAGCAGTTAAGCAAGGAAAAAAGATTTTCAAGTTTTCCAAGGCTTTCTGTTTCGATTCCCATGAAATAAGGTTCAATCGGATTTTCTAAAGAATTCTTCTCATCTGATAAATAAGGATAACTTATCGGAGAGATCTTTTTATTAAACCTGTTGCTAATAATTTCTTCTGATTTCTGAGGTTTAGACAGAAAAGATTAAAATTATTAAATCGTTTTATATGAAAGTAAAATAATAAAATTGCTCATGATGAAATGTATTTAAATGTTCACTGTCGACGTTATTAAAAAGTAAAGCAAATAAAATAATTAAATTTAATTTATTTATGACTTTGTCGTGAAGGAAATTGTGTGCTTAAATTAGAAGAAAACTGACAGAAATTACACTTTACAAAAGATCTTATGGTGCCATCAAAAGTCATTAGTAAAACTTCTTAAATGTGTTTAATAACCGAAAAAACTGAAATTTTCCGCAATTAAAAATAATCGTAGACTATATGGAACTATTAATGGGTGTGCATGCGATAACATCCTGCGCGTGGTTTCTCTTTCATTCAAAAGCTAAATGACAAACCCTTCCAATTATATCAAGCAAATTGTCATGGAGAATTAAACATTTCTTGACCCTCGAAAAATTTCGAGAAAAAGTTTCTTTTTAATACTTTTTTACTGGACTAAATTACTTGTCTTTGAATGTTTCCGGTGAGTTTCACTGTGAACATTTTTCACATTTTATATGAGCACTCGATTGTGAATGGTCATAAACAAAGAACTTTTATGAAATATAAAAAATGTTGTCAACAGGTGTACATGCATGAGTGAGAAGAATAAAACTAAATATGATCATGATATGGTTGCGTTTGTAATTGCTTAGATTTATAACCCGTTTACGTTTATTGTGATGTACGAAAGTTAGTTTCCTATCTAAACTTTCTGTCACTTTCATGCCATCACGAAAGATGGAAAATCTACAACTGACGTCTCTTTAATTGAAATCAAGTAAGCTTCATGATAATTCTCTGTAAAACTTTGTGCTCGATTGAAATCTTGAAATCCAAGGAAGAAAAGGCAACAACTAAAATCACTTAAACTAGGCAAAAGTGAAACTTATTCTCAAGTTTTCTCACAAAATATTCTTTGATCCTAAACTTTTGAAGTTTATAAACTCTCAGCAATATCGCGAATAATTTAAAGGAAAAAAAAATCTTTTTCAAGTTTGTTTTCACAAACAACATCGTGTAGAACAAACGAAATAACTTAAATTCTCTTCGTTAAGCAGAGTTTTTTTAACTTTCAGGAACGTTGAGTTGAGACAACCATTTTGAAATAATATAATGAAGCTTGTGAATTTTCAGGGACGTAGAATTCAGTTGCAGGTTTTTATAAAGCGAACCGATTCAGGAATTCCAAAGTCACATTCCCAAGAAAAGAATTGTTTGTGTGCGTGTGTGTTTGTGCTTGGGACATGTGATGTTGCAAAAATTAAACCTTTAGCAAATTCCAGAAACACCATCAAAACAAACGCAACGAAATCTGCTTTTTTGTGCTGTTGTTTGTTGCTCAACATTAAATTCATGAGAAAGTTTTTTTTTATGAATATAGATAGATACGAGCGGCTAAGCTTGAACATTAAGATGGTAAGAAATATAAAAGAAACATCGATATCGGCAAATATCTGCTGCTTCAAACGACATGAAGCAGAAGAAAAAATCTGTTTCCAATTCAATCTTCGATCATGCTTTTATCTGTTCACAATAATTTATATGTTGCTTGCTACTTTTGTTTATGTAAGATGCTTGCATAACAGTCTTTGGTCTCACCGCAAATCTTTCTGATTAATCAGAATGTGTTCATCAGTTGTTTGTAGTCAAATTAATGAAAGCTTTATGATGGAAACATTTTCCTTACCAAGGATCATCGATATCAAATGTCTGAGCTTTCCTTTTACGACTTTCAGTTTTATTGAAGATTCATGTTTAATTTGAGAAAAGAAAGCATTCTTTGAAGACTTTCAATGGTTCTTTTGTATGTTGACAAATAAAATGAGATGTAAAAATGTTTTCATCAAAGAGTGTGACTGAAACAAACTACTTTGTTGTAAAACGCTTTTGAGAACAACTGCCATTCAAAAAACAGATAAAATATTAAACATTCGACAAATATACGTCACTTATTTTTCATCCAGAACTTATTAATAATATTTGAAGCTCGTGTTAAAGTAGAGAAGAACGCAAACTATTCAAATTATTAAAATAAGAAAGAAACATTCCACTGAGAGACGACATTCATACTGATAAATAAACTGTGCTTATAGATTTTGCAACTGATCAAATAGTCTGCTGTTTATTATTGTGAATTGAGATAAAAAAATGGAGCAATAAGACAAATAATATGAGAATTAATTTATCGGAGATGATATGAAAATGTCACTTTTTTTGATCAAGTATTCAATAATCAACAAATAGTTTTAAAGACATCAACCATGACGACATGTTCCAGTCTGTGTGATTAAATGGGTATAAGATAACACTCGTGAATATTGTTTAATTTTATGGTGATATCATATTAACAACACGAGCAAGCAAAGCCATGATGTGTCCTTACTGCTTACGTCCTAGTTGAACATTACTGACATTCCTTGGGAATAACCGAAAACGGTTTATGTTCATGGTATCGTAATATAAACACAGAAAAACAATTAAAATGAATGCATCAGCTGAAACAATGGAGGACGAAAAACAATTAAATAATTTCATGTACTTCTACTTGAAAAGAAAAAATATGAACAATTAACTTTTCTTGCTCTTTTTTTATACACTCCACTTAAATAAGTTAAAAAAAGAAGAAATGAAAAGGAAAATCGCAAGAAATGCAAAAGCAAAAGAAAATTGTTGACATTTTTTAAGGCGGAGTTTGATTTGTTGAGTATTTTTACTCTAAATAAAATGAGCTGTTTATATGGCTCTAAATTATGAGTTGAGTTTTCATTTCTTTAAGGCAAAGAAGGAAACAAAAAAGAACTTTAATTGCCATAGTGAAGAAGTATATTTCATAATTAATTACATTTCGCATCGCAATTACACGTCTCTTTTATTGTGTTGTTAGTTAACTTAACAAGCATCAGAGCTTTTCCTTCATCTATGCCGGCATAACTGAAATACTTTCTAAGAAATAGAACCGCAAATGTTGTTGATAAAATATCTGACAGACTTTTTAATCCATTAGATAATTAATTTAAATATGTGGTAATAATTCTTATTTTCCGGCATTATCAGTTTCTTCAACTTTTTTCATTGAGAGATTTTTCGTCAAATAAATCTTTGCTTAAGTCATTAACGATTAAAGTTTAACCTTGCAATTTTCCATCAAAAAAAAGTGAAGGAATTAAATTAAAGTTTTACAAGTCTCGCCTACGAAACCGAATAAAAACTATTATTTAAAGAAATGATCTCGTAATGAATGCATAATTGAGACGAAAATGCTTTTCAAATGCACCATTAGACATGAATCTAATTTACCAACCGTCCAATCCGTGATTTGCATTAACGCTTTAAGTATCTTCGTCCGACACTTTTGAAACGATGCCAGCGAGAAAATAATAAAAAAAACATCATCTTGCTGTTTATTTTTAAGTATTTTATATTCCCAGAAAACGCGAAAAATTCGAGAGCTTTTCCGTGTTCTTTTCGAAGATTTGATTGAAATTAAGCATATGTTTTAAAGAACATCATGAAATGTTCCTAGTGAATAATGATTTTTCTTTCTTACTTATGTACGTCATTAGGTAATGATTTTCTCAAATTACTCGCACAATTTTCGCGGATCAATTTCATGATCGATGAAAAAGAAAGCTGCCTCAGTTCGTTCTTAACCATAAATTTCCTTCGCGTGTCTTTAAGCGCAGTAATTTATCTCCATGAGTGGCACGTGTGGGAACAAACATATTAAAAAGGCTTAGAAAAGTTGAAGTACAAGCTTGAAGCTTCTTTATGATGTGAAAATGTTTTATTCTCCTTGATCTTCTTTACAGATACGACGTTCATTTCTCTCTTTTTCTGAATTTCTTTAAAAACAACATCAATCATGATATAATTGATTATATTTAATTTAGCAGTTTGTTCTTCTTCATCTTTTTATGAGGCAAGTTGACATTCGCTAAAAAATCATCAACTTCAATTTTAAAACAAGGACATGTCGTAAGTGTGGCTTCAAGTCATTCATAATGGTGAATGTTCTTATGAATCTGTCGCGGGGTTTTTCTTTTTCTCATGAAGAAAAATCATAAAATTTCATGTCGCGCACGAGAGATGACCATGAAAAACGTTTTTCAACGTCTTCTTGGAAAAATATCAATGACTCATCAATAATTCTTGCTTTTCTCTTAAAGACGCGGTTGATTCAGTGTCAAAGTAGAGATTTCCTTTTGGTTTTGAATTTTCTTGCAATATCATCCACGACAAACGGTGAAAAATTTCCCTAAGAGTCTGCGAGTGAAATGAAAAACAAAAACGAAGAAAAAAGTTCACCTGTAGGGTGAGAAAAGTTATCGAAATGTGTTTCTTGCCATGCCACGCATCATTTATCGTTTCAATAATTTGTTTTCTGTCAAAAACACTACTAACTGAATTAATCATACATTATTTTCAACGCATTGTCATGAAGACTGAACAATAGAGAACGTTTGATATCAAAGTTTTTAATTCCTTGATTCCTGCTGATTCTTTCGTCACAAAACCTCACCTCCTGCCGTCTAAAGCTTCGTGGATCTTTGCCAACTTCGCTGTGCTCTCAAAATTCTATTTTTATCAATTTTCTCATGTAACTTGTGTGTGAATAAGCGAGAAGATGAAATAGAAACTCAACCGATCTTTGTAGTGGTGAAAAGTCGAAAGAAAATTGGTTTTTACGCATAAGAAATTTTGTCTCGTATTTCTTGTTGTTTCCATATTTTTTTTATATTCGAAGACATGACAATAATTTTACACACGAAAGATATTTTTTAAGGTTCCCTACCAGTCTATCTGCAGTCGGAATCAGGATTAGTAATTCTACCATTAACGATCCTAAATGGATCTATTAAGAACATTAGGAAGGGTCATGATTTTATTAAATGATACGCAGCTAACCCTGAAACAACTCTGAGGAGAAGAAGCCAAGCATCCTCCTGCTGAATAATAAATTTTCACGTTTGACGCGTTTTCCAAAAGTTACATTTTCCCCATTAATCTTCTTAGCTTTGGATGTGTTTTACTTTTTCAGAATCGTTTACTGGTTCTTCTTTTTTTGCGTCGCTAAATCTTCTTTACCCGAATTTGCAAAATTATAAATTACTTCTCTACACATTCGCTTCTTAATGAAGTGAGTTTTGTTGTTTTCCTCGCTTTCAAGTAGGTTACACGAAGGTTTTCTTTTTCTAAGTAGCATCATATATATCGAGGAAAAAAATAATGAAATTAAATGTTTGTTATATATCTACTTGAAATATGAAAGCGATGGAAAAACAAATCGCAATCTGACATTTCAGAACGAGATTTAATCACATGGATAAAAATAATTTAAGAAAATTGACAAAATAAAAGGTTTTTCTGCTAATCTTATTAGTGCACTTGAACAATCATCAAGCAACATTTTTAAAAGCCGCCCAAAAGACTCTTGATGAAAAATTAATGTTTTCACTTATTGCTTTTTTCCCAAAGAGTTTTTCATTGGAAAATTCTTGAAATACTCACGAACAAAATGACGTCAAATGTTTATCTGACAAAACCTAGTTTATTCCCGATACTTATGCGGTTGTTTCTCGTGAAACCAGTTGAAGCCAATTTGAATCTTTTCTTTTATTTATCATGTCATCAATGACTTCGCCCCATCAAATAATTTTTATTTAATGTTGATATTAATGAAAATGTTTAATCTTAAAAATGAAAATAATAAATGTAAAAAAATGTTTAATTAATTAATGTTTGTAAATTTTTTTCAGTGAATTTATTTTCATGCATTCATTTGCGGAAAATGAAAATTTTTCTTCCTAGAATAGAGAATAATTCAAAACCCCAGCAGGCAAAAAACATTTGCAGATTTTCTTTTTTTCTTTCTCATTTTCCTCACTGCTTCAAGAAACAATCAATCTTTTTAATCTCATCATTTGTTGTTTTGCTCTTTCGATATATCGTATTGAGTTAAAAGGAAAAGTTTGGCATCGTTCGCTCGTTTCTTTCATTTAGCGATTGGTGGAAAAGGAAGAAGTTTTGGGGGATCTCAACCATATTATGTCCTAGATGTGAACGTTTGGTGCCTTTTGAGTAGTCAAACGTTATTACTATTATTACTTTTTTGTGGAGAAAAATTAATTACTGAAGTATTAATGGTTTCGCTTCGGGCGTTTGTACATGTGATGAGAAAACTTTTATTAATTAGTTCTATTAATTAATTTCTTCCAAGTTCTTCAAAAAATTTCTTTTATTTATAATCCAATGGTCAACATTTTTGTCCTTCATTCCTTTGACAATTAGAAATATTCACGTTTAAATCGACAAAACATGCCTAAGAACTAAAAACAATACGCAAAGCAACATGAAAGAAAACAAAAAGTTCAAGGAGACTGGAGACAAGAATAAATCTTTTATGTATATATTTTTTTAAGTATTAGATTCAGAGACTTTCTAAAACGTTCTTGCTTTATATTTTTAGATTAATTAATTTCTTTCCCAACGTCACTTTCTGCTCCTCGGATGAAAACTTATTTTGGTTTTCGGATGAAACATTCTTGAAATTTTTCGTCTTGACGAAGATTCGAAATACTTTTTCTTGTTATATTTTCAGTTTCTTTTTATATTTATTTTTTTTCCTTTCTTCTTCGTTTCTCCACAGACAAAGACCGCTGTGATGATGATGCTGCTTTTCCAAGTAATGGCCCTACTCGTAAATTAATTAAGTTAATCTCCACAATTTAATTTATGTTCGCCACTTTCTAATTTTTCCGTTTTCCAGTTCTATAAAAAATTAAAATATCGAACTGAAATGTCGCGTGATAGAAAAAATTGAGAACGTTGCACATGCTCGTACACAGTAAGATCTTGAAAGTGTCATTCATCACCTTCAATTTGCCATTAGATTGTTGCTTTTCAAATGCGACCGATAAGAAGCACATACTTTGACAAAATATTCATAAATTTTAATATTTTTTAAAGCTTGTCACATGAGAGATTTATAGCCCAGTTGCTTTATTCGTTTCAATGTTTGCCAAAGTATATGGAAATGTCATGAGTTGTTGCTTTTTTATATTATTTTGCCTTTTATCCATATGTTGTATTACAAGTTAAATTCACGGGCATGGGACAATGCTCATATTTTGCTGCTAATTAAACATTCAAGACCTTTTTCTTCCTATTAAAAAATTCGACATGATTTATAAAAGAGTGAAAGATCGTTTTTTACTAAAAATATGAATTAAATTAGCATTTGGGTTTTGTTTCTTTTTGATGAAAATTCTTGGAATATTTTTTTTTCTGTTTTAATTCTTATAATTAAATAAACTGTTAAAGTAACTGAATGTCTACCTTTTGATGTTAAATATTTAGAACGATAGAAGAAAATATTTTTATTATTATGATAAAAAGAAGAAAATAAAGAGACAAATCGAATTTATCTCACACCCACCCCCATCATGACAAAAATCATTCAAACTGTCACAACATTGATTTCCTTGGAAGCGAAAATTCAGATGACCTCGTTAATTCTGTCGTGATGATATTTAGTCAACTGGCTACTAAAAAATAATAAATTTTAACTTCACTTTCTTGATGTTCTGCCTTATAATGTAAATAAAGTAAAACCAATCGATATAAGTTAGTTATTTAATCGCTACTTTTTTTTTGCTTACATCACAAATCTCAAATTACAAAATCATCAAGTTTATTAAAATCGGCTTTGAACAGCACAAAATTGAAGCATGCAGCACATGAAAAAGAAATTAAATTTTATTCTAACTTGTAAATATTTGGAATCTAATGGAGCTCGACGTTTACACGTGAAGTTTTCATTAAACGCAAATTGTGACTTCATTCTGTTTATGTTGCAAGACTCAAACAAATGTGATTTTAAATAAAATGCATTTCAATCAATTCTTCTTTTCAAAAAAGTTGGTAATTGGAGGAAAAAAATGATCTACAAGCTGTTGAACTTGACTTTTATTGATTAAATGAGATGCGAGAAGAATTTCTTTTGTGGTTATGCAAATTAATATTCATGATTAAAGGGTAAGTAAGATCACCGTATGGTTAATCCTATTAATCAATAACATGTTATTTATATTAGTGAAATTAATTTGAGTTCTAGATTTTTTGACTTTTCATAGCACCTTAAAATGCTAATTAGATTCTTCAAGAACGAACCTTCAATTAACTTTCCAAATTTCCTTTCTAATCACAGACGTTCATAAAACACTTTATCGACAAAACGTAACAACATCATCTGGCTTATTGGCCGTGCACGACTTGCACTAAACAATCAATGGTGCTGCTAGTTTTACGACGCTGCCCAATTATGTGTTGCTTTTCTCTGTTTGGATGCTTTCAAGGCACAGTAAATCATTAGTTTTAAAAGTGGGTAAATAAAAATAAAAATCAATTATCTTTGCGCCTTATCGTTGCTTCTTTTCGTTGATCATTATTTTTTTAGAGGCATTAACACACATTACACAAAACATACACAAAATTATCGACTTAGATGTGGGATGTTAGAATTATTCTTGCTTGAGGTAAAATGTTAAATTATGTTTTTCATTTTTTTTCATTTGACTTCACATGACTATGAAAGGAATCTGATTGAAAACAAACTTCAAGTTCAATATTAAAGGATCGTTACTCGAATTCTGTGATCAGCATTTTTAATGAAAACTAATAATACGAGACAGAGATAGAGAGAAAAAACAATATGTGGAGGTTGTGCATATGAAAGTACAACACAATAGACTTTGAGAGCCTTACACACCCACATTTTCGACGTTGTTTTATTTAATGATTGAATGAACATTACCACTTGTTATCTCAGTTCGTTTCCTCTTTCAATCGATACAAGAAATTATTTTAATAGTTTTTATATCTCAGTTTTGTTCATTCGGAACTATTACATGCCAATTTAATCAAACGTAGGTGAAAACATAAAAAGTTTAAAATGTATAAGGAAACTGTTTGGATTACTTGTGGAATGAATATTTCATTTTTTTATTAAGATTCGAATATTTAATTTTATTGTATCGTCTTTTAGCACTGCACAATATTCAAAAGAATGAGAACAACCATAACTAACTCCCAATGAATTTTTTTTTCTCTAAATCTCTGACTAATACACTCGAGTGAAGACTTTCAAGTATATTTTTATCCAAGATATTAAATTTGAGAATCTTCACTTCAGATATTGAATCAGATTACGTGAACTTGGAAGAAATCTTATGATAACATTTTCTTGACGAAGTTTATTTTAGTAAAATATGATGAAGAGTGAACATAAATTAAATCAAATCTTCCGTGAATGAAGCAATATACATAACTATTAAAGAAAATCTATTTAGAGTGTAAGAACGATTCAGTTCTACTAATTATAAAACTTCTGTTTATGGAAATGTCACTGATTTTTCTCTGGAGCGTGAACGATGGCGAGACTGTCGTCTAACCTTGAGAAAAATCAGAAAAATGAAAGAAATCACTTTTGAAAATCAATCAAGATCGTATTATGAAAAATTCACTGTAACATTGCATGTCACACTCTAAACGCATTCAGGTCCCGCCTTTGGCAACGATACCACAATTATACGTACAAAAACACAACTTGTATAAAATGTATTTTACGATCTACTAAAAGTAGATTGTTTATTACTCTTGGTGCAACTGTTTTTTAATTTTTTTTTGCGATGAAAAGATTTGTCGCGCGACGGCAATTTTTTCGTTATCAACGATTAGCTTTGAGCATTCATTTTCAGTTGGCACTTAACGACGTGAAAATCTGAAACTGTTGTATGAGTTTTTTTAATTTTGTTTTAAGTAGGTACACTTTAACTTCTCACTTACGATCGTTTTTACTTGTATAATTTATTTTACATCTTTTTTTATTGAGAAACTTTTTTAGAATTATACATGAACTTATTACAAGAAAACCAAACTGCATCTACTTACGTTTATAAAACAGCTTGGAGTAGTCACAATCCATCGGAAAATTTAAATTTTGACGAAAGATTGTGTCTTGAAAATGAAATCTCTGTTCGTTAGCTATTTTGAATGATTTTCTAATAATAACTCAATTCGAAAAAAAAATAAGATTCAAACTTTTTTTAATTTAACTTTTTCTTATCTTAAAAAACTTATCCGTCACCGCCTGGCTTAAAATTCTTCTTTCTAAATTTCCTTGTGTCTATTTATTTGTTAATTAGTTTTTTTCCACCATTAAACTTTTAGCGCCAGAATCAATTTTTTTTTAATTCAAACACTTCCTTAATTTGTCGCTTTCTTTTCGTTCAATTAATTTTGGGAGAAATCTCTCATGAAATTTATTCAAAATTGTGTGTGAAAAACAAATATAACAAAATCCTGGTAAGCTTTCTGTGCCACTTTATATATTTTATTATTCACTTGCGAAAAAAAATTCTGTTCCCAAAAGTATATTCTTCTTCATTCAGAAATGCACTCACGGGGCCAACACTGAGCTCAGAAGTTGAACTTATTCACTCAATGGGTTCATAAACAATACTGACAGAGAATCAACACGATGAAAATTTTTTTTTTTTTTTTTTTTTTTTCTGTTTTCATATTCTCATCGTTTTGCCGCGCGCGTTTTCAGAGCTTTTCATATACAAACTGTACGAGAGCTGCCGGGAGAATCGACAAAATGAAAATTGAATTTAGCTTCGGCGTTTTTCACTTTACACATTTTCTTCTCTCTCTCTCCATCTCGCCCTTGAAGGCACATGAGAATTTTCCATTCTCGAGAGAAAATGTGAGAGAAAAATCAGCAATTTTTATATTCATGAGAGAAAAGCAATTTCAAAGATAAATAAAATAGATGAGTCAGAAGCTTTTGATATCAAGATAAACAGTGGTAAACTACCTTTTAATAATATACCGCTTATCACTGATAGCTTGAATGAAACCGTTTGATTATTATCAAGGGACCAATTATCAACATGAAATTTTCTGTTTCATACTCTCAATTTATGTTTCCAAATCTTTTCATTTCCCCCGCACCGGCAATGTATGTATTACAAACACAAGTACAACAATATAATGTTAACAGCAAATTGTTGCATGGTGGAAATTTGTGTAATCATACAATCTCAATGTTTTCATCATAGACCGGATGATGAAAATTTTCTGTTATTAAATTGAAGTTCCTTGTTGGAAAGGGGAAGATATTAGGGATGAGATAATCATTTGTTGTAACTTGTTTTATATTTTTCTTACATGTTTTGCACTGGATGCATTTATGAAACTTTTCATTGAGTGTGATTTAGTTAAAGTTTTTGTAAACAAAATTTGTTTATTCTTCCTAATTTTAATATTTTTGCATAACAAGATTATTCTTTAAGAAACCTTCAGATGTTTTCTGAGATATGTAACATGAAGTAATACGTGACAAAAACTTCTTGAGACTGCCAAGTTAGCATATTTACGCGGAAGTTGGGAAACATTTTATTTTTCATCTGAAGTTTTAAATTTTGTGATGTATTTATAAAAATTAAACATTTATTATTTTTGAGTTTTCAAGCTCTTTTTCCAAGCACAATTCGTTTCGCGTAAAGTTTGATTAGTCATCGTTTTGAGAAGACCGTTCATCATGCAGAATAATTTAAGAAAAAATAAAATAAAGCTCACTTGAATCTATGACGCTGAATTTTCTTTTTCTGCGCGACATTGATAAATACAGAGATGTTTTTATATTTCGGAATAATAATTAATGTATCAGAGTGTTTTATTTTTTAACATTCTCTCAGGAAATAAAGTCAAATTTCTTCTTTTTAATTTTCAAAGCCAAAATTATTACATAGTGGATTCATAGGAACTTATCATTTCACTCACCGTATGAGTCATCGTCTGATGTTTGAAGTGTTTTTCCCATGCTTTTAATAAAGTTTCCCGCGTGAAAATAGTCTTATCTCAAATAATTTTCCTTCCAAATAATTGCGATTATTGCACAATATTATAATTTCCTTTTAAATGATCGAATATTATATTTCCTTGAATCAACATACACTTTAGATCATTTTTCACAAAAAATTTGATAAGCATTCTATTTGAAAACTATAGAATTTAATTAATTTTCTTTTACTTGCAAGTAAACAATCTCACAGAGTTGTACTCCGACCGAATTCGGATAAAACGTCCTGTTTTTCTTTGTCGGTAGAGGGCAGCATAATCGTGTTTTCATTCAAAGCTTGAAATTCTCATTTCACTAAATAAATAAACTTTTTTGTAACTTTGCTCGCATTTAAAAAATATCCTTTATTCAACTACTATTAGAATATATTAGAGATACAAATATGTCAGAAAACTCATTGGAAGGACTGGAAAACCAGCTTGAGCTATTTTGTGAGAACATTCGACAGGTTTGTTGAACTTTGGTGTTATTAATGATATTTCAAATTAAAATGATATTAATAATTTTTCTTTTCTAGATCGGTATAATAGTTTCAGATTTTCAGCCACAAGGCCAAGCTGTCCTGAATCAAAAAATTCAAACATTGATATCAGATCTTCAAAAAATAGACAAATCGAGAAAGAATGTTGTTGGTGACATCCACATCCCTCTTGCTGTTTTTGATTATATTGATCAAGGAAGAAATCCTCAACTCTACACGAAAGATTGCATTGAAAAAGCATTAAACAAAAATGAGGAAACAAAAGGTAGCGTATATAAGTTTTCATTTAAAAAGAAAGCTTTGTAAATTGTTTTCATTTATTCAGGGAAAATCGACTCGTATAGAAAGTTTCATCGCAGTCTTCTCTTAGAACTACAAAAAGAATTTCCTACAGAAATCAACAAATATCGTGCTTTAAGGAAAGATGAATAAAGTGATATTTATTGCAACAAAAATGATAAGAGATGAAAATAAAATTTATTAAACATGAAAAAGTTTTTGAATTTATTCCATCAACGAAAATAATTTTCATTCCCCTTGTAAAATGTGTGACTCACAAAACACTCTATGCATGAATATGAATAACATAAGGCATCAAGTTTCCAGTTATTTTTATTGAACAATGACTCATACATATTTTTTTCATTATAAATTTAATAAATCAATAAATGAGGAAATTTAAATCATCGTAAAACAATTGATTTTCACTAGAAAATTTAAACATTTTGTAGAAGTTTTACTGTAAGCCACCTTGAATGTGTGTGCATAGAAGTTTCACAGTTTTACTTTTGTTTCATTTGTCGAAGTGCAGGAGTTTATCGATAAATCGTAAATTAAAGCAGAATTCAATTAATTGTTATCATCCCAGACGCCTTCAAACATGCCACTGTTCGGAAAATCTCAAAAAAGTCCTGCTGAGCTTGTGAAAGTAAGGAAGATTACGTTGTATTGTGTAAAAACTTTTTTCCTTATAAACATTTTCATTGAATTTTTTTTATATATTCGCTATTGATTAAAAAGGCTCTGAAGGAAGCTCTCAAAGCTTTAGAAGCATTAAAAACATTAGAGCGTGGTGATAAAAAAGCTGAGAAGGCACAGGAGGATGTCAGTAAGAACTTGGTAAGATATCGATAAAAATTTCACTTTTGCGAAACGCAATATTCGGAAGAAAAATAAGACTCTAATTAATCGATTCAACAAATTTGATCGAGCAGGCCAGTGGCAAACATTTATGTTCATATGAAAGCGTTCAAATTCCATGACGAGAGAAAAGATATTTAAGCTCTCAGAAAATTTCAAGAAAAAAAATCTTAATGGGCAAAGAAGAAAACGAATAAGAAAATCATAAAAAAAATCATTCATTTCTTTCTAGTTTATTTTACGACGTTTTTCGTTGTGTATTGTTTTTGATTTGAAACAACAAAAAGAAACTCTTCTTTTCTTTCTATATGTAGTCTACATATTGCTTTTTGATACTGCATAACGTGAGGTTTTCATGAATTCATTTCAACCAAATCTTTTACCGTAAATATCACATATGAACAAAAATAAAAAACCAAATTAACACCAATTTATTTTGTGATTAGCACTCATGACATTATCATCATATTGCTTTTAGGCATCCATTAAGAATATGCTTTATGGAACATCAGACACAGAACCACAAACGGACATCGTCGTATCACAGCTAGCGCAAGAACTTTACAATAGCAATCTTCTTCTCCTTCTCATCCAGAACCTTAATCGAATTGACTTCGAAGGTAAGAAAGATGTGGCGCAAGTGTTCAATAATGTACTTAGACGACAAATTGGCACACGATCACCGACAGTTGAATATATTTGCACAAAACCAGAAATTCTATTTGCGCTGATGGCTGGCTATGAACATCAGGAGATTGCACTTAATTGTGGCACAATGTTAAGAGAATGTGCACGATATGAAGCGCTCGCTAAAATTATGCTTCATTCAGAAGAATTCTTCAACTTCTTTCAATATGTTGAAGTGTCAACATTCGATATAGCATCGGATGCATTTTCCACATTCAAGGTGAGAGTTTTTGTCGTCTTTTCTTCTTTTGTCATAAATAAATTCTTTCTCAGGAACTTCTTACTCGCCACAAAATTCTCTGTGCTGAGTTTCTGGAAGCCAATTACGATAAAGTTTTCACACATTATCAACGTTTGTTGAATTCAGAAAATTATGTTACAAGACGTCAAAGTTTGAAGCTTTTGGGTGAATTGCTTTTGGATCGTCACAATTTCACAGTGAGAAATGATAAATTCATAAATTTAATATTATGATGATTAATTATGTTAATGCATAGGTGATGACAAAATACATTTCAAATCCTGATAACTTGAAGCTTATGATGAACATGCTGAGAGAGAAATCAAGAAATATTCAATTTGAAGCCTTCCATGTTTTTAAGGTAACAAAAATAACCTGAGTTATGTCGACAATTTAATAAATCTGGTCATTTAAGGTGTTTGTGGCCAATCCCAACAAACCAAAACCAATTTTGGAGATTTTGTTGCGCAATCAAGACAAACTTGTTGAGTTTCTTACCCGCTTTCACACCGAACGATCGGAAGATGAGCAGTTCAATGATGAGAAAGCTTATCTGATCAAGCAAATAAAAGAGCTGAAGCCTATAACTGATGGGACGACATCTCAACAACAATGATCGATGATTGATGAATTCTAAACTGATGAAAGAAGCCTCGGAATTCACTTTTTTATTTCTTTCTTTTCTTTTTTTCGCTCGCATTTTCATTTCATTGTATTTGTTTCTCCTTTTTTTGCGCAAAACGAAGAAGATGAGAAGAAGAAGAAAGAAGACGAAGGAAGAGGAGTATGAGGAGTAGGAGGAGGAGGAGAAAATAATTAATTTATTTAAAAACCAAACGAAGAAAATTCCGCTTTCATTCACTTTTCTTCTCGGCATTATGTATTCTATTTAGATAAATGTAATTAATCACAGAATGCAATTCTTTGAACATGAAAAGTGCTATCAGAGCGAGACGACGCTAATGAATTTTTTTTTCTTGTTTTATGTTTCGTTGATTTTTCTCTCAATTCACTGCAACAAACAGTGATGGATTAATGAGCAAAATCATGATCAGCCTGTTTTAAGAACATTTCTTTTTCTCTGTTTTCGAGAAATTAATTGTTAAATATTAATGAATGGATGATAAGTAAAAAAAACATTAGATTTTAGAAGGAAAGCAAGAAAAATTTTGTGTTTTACTCATTGAATGAAAAATTCCTTTTCAGGTGAATTTAGATTGGAAAATCAAAAATTCTTTTACAATGAAAATGAAACTTATCAGTTTAGTATTGATAAAATTCTCGTCATTAATTGATCAATTAATATGTTGGCATTGAAGATACAAATCAATAAAATTTCAATAGAAAACACGAGCAATTAATCAAATATTTCTGGAAAAAAGCTAAAAATAAAAACACAATTTCAGTTTCATGCATTTTTTTAAATTTTTTATTTCAATAGATCATCGTCATTCTCTCTAGTGGAGGAAAATAAATTTACTTGTTTCCATCTATCTTATCAACGACGTTGAAGAACATGAAAATGAGAAGAATCAAATAATAATCTCAAAAGTTGTATTTTGTAAAATGAAGAAGACAAAAGACATTTGTAGATGCTTTGATATTGTCACAAGCAGAACTGACTATGTTTACATTTATTGTTGTATAATCCATTCATTGGATTCCACACACTTTGTAAAAAGGAGAGAAAGAAGAAAAAAAGGAAATCTTTTTATCACAAAATTGTCGTAAATGTGCTTTGTTCATTTCAATTTCCTTTCTAAATGTTTTTCCTTCTTTAATTTCAATGAAAATTTGTTGAAAATGAAGAAAGGTGAGAATTGAACAAGGAATGTTAGACTTAATTAATTAAATTATGTTATCATTCTCGGTGAATGCAGTCCATAAACATCATCAATGGGTGGGCAATGTGTTTCGCGATTATTGTTTCCCCAGTCGTGAAGTCCTCGAGAATTCGCTAAACGATGCGTTAGTCTGTGCGCAATGCTAAAGCCGCCAGACCCTTCAAGTTGTGTCAACACAATTATAACTTGTCGTTGAAGTGGTGGAACAGAGTCAACCGTCTTCAATTCACCTCTGGTAGATACAACATTGTAGCTTTCTTGACAATCACATTTAACATGAATCCACTTATTCTCATGACGATTCTCAACCATAACAACAAGACCAGCCCAACCTTTCGTCAAGTAATAAGCAGTCATTCCTTCTCGTCCTTCATGTCGCTGACCTTTGGTCAAAGTTAAACTTATTATAGCGTCTGCAAGGAGATGAGGTGGCGGGGAAATTTGCTCAACAATCAAACGTTTTGAACTATGAATTGCAAGAACACATTGGGGGAACAACAAAGGATCTTCGATGCCAGTGTGCCAATGATTAAATGCTAAACACACAAGAAGGTAAAGATCTCGTTCTAACATCTTATGAGTTCCAACAAATCCACGAACCTGTTGGGAATTAAAATCGTCAAAGTTTTCTGATATTTTATTAAATAATTTTATTTACTTGTCGCTTGCTATGTTCGACAAGTCTGCCAACTTCAGGATTTGCTGGATTTCTTGTTCTAAAAAGAACAACACAAAGATCGAGCTGTGATCTTTGTGATTTTTCCGAGTTTCTATTAAATAAAAGAAAATTTCATTAAAATGTTTGCAGAGCTATTTGAAAGAAATTTTCACCTTTGTCCTTCTTGAAACAAAGTAAATTCAGCTTCAGTTGGTTCAAGCACTGTTAAAAGTACACAAGAAAGTGAACAAAGTGGTTGCAACGTTCCCAGCAATCGAATTTCTTCCCATCCTTGACGAACTTTACAAATGTCGATACAGTCAAAGTATCTGCAAAATGTTCGTGAAATGTTTTTCTTTCATAAAAATTGTAAAACTTACTTTAAAACATCTTCAAAAGATATCCAAAAAACACCCTCAGAAGCACCATGTGGCATTAAAATCTCACGAAGTTCATCAGTCCACAATTCAGAGTCATCAGACCAGTCGCCTTTCCATGAGTAGTGTCCCCAAGGATTTCGAAGTTTCAACAGTCGATGACCGTGAATGTCACGTACATCTAATACAGAATAAGCATGTCTGGGTCTCAGTCCTTTGCTTTGATATTCATCTTCGTCAACTTTCATATTTCCCCCACCGCAACTCGCACCCATAAGAAATTTAACAAGACGAGAACTCAACAATTGAGCCCAAATGAGATCTTTGTCAAGTTCATCTTCACTTGGCATTGGAATTGAGCTCGGTTGAAGTGGTAAACTCTCGCATGGCGCACCTGTTAATGTTGCTAAGCCTTCAATAGCACGTCCCGACACTAAAGCTTCATAACAACCGTGAATTTTCGCAACCGCTTTCTCAATCAATGGCAAATAAAGTTGCTTTCGTTTGGCTTGTGAATACACCAAATGGCCTCGCTTATCACATGGCAGAAGATCGTCAATCAAAACAGTTGTCCATCGACCATCTTTACATAAGCGTACTTGGTATGCACCTTGTGGACAAACTTCCTTTGTCACGAGAACTTCCTTCACTAAATCTTCACGTTCAGCTAGCACTGCAAGTGCTGATAAAAGCCAACAATTTCCTAAAACACCTTGACAAATATCCGATGGTAATGGCGTACGAAAAACTGACCATGGAAAGTTTCCACCATCACAATTTATTTCATGTGGTCGACGCCATTGAACAACCGGATTTGCTTCTGAATTACTTGCTGCATTTGGATTGTAATAAAGGCTTTTGGCAGCTGGTGGAAATGAGTCGTCAACAAAAAGTTCGTTATTCTCTTTACAATATTGTATGATATTCTCCCATTTAGCAAGTGCTTCTGACTCTTCTTGTTGACGTAAATTCTCCATTAATTTACTCTCATGTCGACTATCTTCCAATATTCCAACATTTGGAGCAATTATTGATGAAACATCATTAACAGCAGCACGTCGATGACTCGAACAAATATCACAAACAACACTTGCTGATGAATTTTCATATGTACATGCTGGACATTGCCATGTCTTTGATTTTTGTGTTGGAACACTCGTTGAGTGACTTCCATGTCCACTTCCACTTCTTATCAAAACTGATCCCGTACTGTGACGTTTTGGAATAGCACCAGAACGATCATGTCTTGGTGATGGACTTCTTGATACTTTATTTGTTGGTATCATCAGTTGTGATCGTGAATTGTTAATTTGTTGTTGATCAGTGTTGATTTGTTTACTATTACTGCCACCAGGTGTCGTGGGTGTTGTAGCTGGAGACGATCCAGTGTAGGGACGGAAATTTGGTGGTTTTGAAACACTTGCAACATGTCGAATAGACTTGCATGCACTACATAAATTCGTTCCAAGTGAATTCTTCAATGTACATTGTGAGCATGTCCAAAATTCTCCTTTTCTTAATGTCATATCTTCAACACCCGAAACACTTCTCAACTTTGATCCACCACAAACAATACAAACAGTAACTGCTGATGAGTTTACTAATGTACATTTCTTGCATGTCCATTGCTTTGGTTGATGATCATCTGATGTTGGTGAATCAGCTGGAAGAAATTGAAAATCATCTTCCAAGTCTTGTTCAAATGAAGCCATTGGAACACGAACACTTGATGGTAACTCATCAAAGCCATGCGTTGACTTTGACATAACAAGTTTCGGAGAATTATTGTTGTTGTTAACATTATCTTTCGATGCTCCTGATTGATTATCAGTACTGTTTGTCTTTGTCAATGTTATAAGTTTTGCTGATTGTTGTTGCGATGGTGATATGCGAGGTGCATCACAAATATCACAATTATCAACCCACATGGGATTGTAAGCGTATGAGCACTTACATGTCCACATTCGTTGACTATTTTCCTTTATTGTTGTCGAGTCTTTTTTTGGTCCTTTCCATACTTTCGAATAAACGTCACTGTTTGACGATCCTGTCATGCACGGAATCGATTGAATCTTCGATGCTTTCAACTGATTATTGTTAATGAAATTATTCTTGATCGCTTCAACATCGTCACTTTTCTTCACTTTATTCACTTTTGCATAAAGAGATTCGTCGATTTTATCGTTGCTCGATTCTTGTTGATATTTCTGAATGGTTGAACTATTCTCATATGGCGGATTGTTGTTGTTATTGTTGTTACTTGAAGCATTATCAAGTTGCTTAAGATTCTCGTAATAATTATCTTGCATACTTGCTGAACGTGAAAATTGTTTTCGTCTTACAACCGATTCTGTCCAATCTTCAACAGCTATAAAAACTCCACTTGATGATAAATCTTCTGACTTTCGGCTTGTGTTTCGAATTGATGGATTTCTTTTGTTTCTTGTAATTGTAAATCGTCCGCTATTTTCAATAGTTGATTGATTTTGTTTTCCACACAATCCACAAATGTTACAAGAGATGAGTGAGTTGTCTTGACTTCCTTTGTTTGAGCATCGGTGTGCGGGAAGTTTGAAATCTTTCAAGTTATTAGCACCAGCTGGTGATTTGAAAAGTGTCGGATAATTGTTGATTGTGACGTTCTTTTTGTTTTGATATTGAAGCTTCTCATCAAATATCTTCTTAGCTGGATGTAAATCGTATCGATTAAACAAACATAATTGACATCGTTTTTGATTTGATGGGAGAGAGTCCATACTCAAACTCCGACGAAGTTGAATCTGATTTGATTCAGCATTCTTTGATGACTCATTTGCACTTGTCTCGTCATTTTTTGATACAACTTGAGATGTACTTTTGTAAATTGGTGCTAATACACTCACAAGATTACAATTCAAGCAAAAGTACGTGATTGTGGAATTAAATCTGAAACAATCAGAAAACATGATCAGAATAATAAAACCAAACCGGAAAGATTTCTTCAACTTACAATCCACACTCGCCGCAGTTCCAGTTCCTGTAAATATTTGGCTGCGATTGAAATCTCTTCACTAAGTTTGTCTTTTTCAGTAGACAATTCTCTCGATGTTTAAAAAGAAAGCGAATTTGTTTGATCTTCTTTTGATTGTAATGTTTGTGTGCTAATGCTAAACTATCATTGATACAAAACGGCAGTTGAACAGCTTTCGATCTCGGATGAACTTGCTTCTCTAATGACGACGTATGTACTTCATTTATCCTGAAATAAAAATGAATGAAACGATTATTAAAATCATTTTCTGTAAATGAAGTTAATTAGAAGATTTCAATGAATTTTTCATGACGATGATCCTTGAATAAAATGAAAAACCCCGAAAAGAAAATTATTAATGAAAGGCCATGAGTCAATGGAAAGCTGAATAGGCAACACGATATTAATCAATTTCAAAGGATCACCATTAAAACTACACTACACACATAATTTACTGTTATCCATTTCCTCTCCCCCACCGCTTTTGAGTCGGGGAGTAAGCAAAGTCTTAATTGAATAATGACGACTGAAGAAAAATCGATTAAACAGGAAACACGTAAGAAAATTCAATGTTTCTGTGATACAGCGAGTAATTTCAAGTGAAAAGTTTATTGCAAATCATCAGGGATATATTTTTAGAATTACACAAAACCTTATTGTGACCGTGAAGACGTTTCGATTCCCTTTTTTCTTTCTTTCTTATTTTTATCGGCTCAAACTATACCGTTAGACATTTTTAATGATCGTCATGATGATGTCAATTTTAATTCCAAGTGATATCAAATCATAAATTAATCTCTTATCATTCCAATTCTTAATAAACAATAAAAGTATAGAAATTGAAAGGCTTTTTAATTAAAAATCTTTTAATTTCACGAATTCACAAAAATCAATAACTTTTTATACAAACAATAACTTAATTAATTCACCACTCCACTTTATTACCTCAATAGATTCAATATTAAACTAATTAACCTTGTGTTTTGTTTTAATTGAATTTGATTTAATTAATAATCCAGTGCACACAAAAAATTTATTTTCTACTCTTGTAAAGTTTTGGGAATCGAAGTGTTGTCGTATGTGTGACTGAGAAATTAGGCAACACGAAACATTTTTGTGCTGCCATATGGGAAGTTACACGATATATTTATAACTTTTATACATCTCTTCATTCTCTTGTTTGAGCTTCTTTGAAAGCTTTCGATTAAACGTTAAAAATTTGATTATTGAGAAGACAAACATGAAAAAAATGAGGAATGAAAATTTATGTGGAAAACAACACACAATGAAAAAAATGTTCCATCTTTGTTTTCAAATAAAGAATTTGGAAAATTTCAATTTACACAAAGGTCTTTCAACTTTTCAAAGGTTTTGATTCAAACAATCAATGGCAGTCACTTCATTTCTAATATTATCTATCGTAATACTCTTCACCTTTTACTTTCAGCTAATTCTTTTGTCTTTCTCTCGAAATTACATTTGAAACATTTTATGTTTTCAGTCGAATTGATTGTGGAACAATTTTCACATGTGAACTGAAAGAGTGAGCTCACGCTACCCATGACTATGTGTTGGAATAATTAAAACTTATTTGAATTCACTTTCCTACTTTTAATCTTAATTTTATTTTTCAAAAGGAAAATTTTCAGACACCAGCTGATTTCAATTTTCCAGACACAATTTCCCTCGAATTTTCCACAAAGTGATTTAAACGGCTCGGCTGTAAAACGACCTTCCGGTCAACCGGTGAAATTATCTCCTTGCATACCCCTCTTTGTTTACAACTTTTCAGGGTCTTCGAAGTGGTTAAAATTAAACATTTTAATGAAAAATTGAGAAAGAAAAATTATCAAATCATCTTTTTGCAAGTTAATTAACAATTTCGATGAGAAACTAAACGCTTCATACTCAGAAATATCATTTCTAACAATTTTTATTAACTAACTTAGTTCATGCCCAAAGCCCTGTCAACCCAAAGAAAAAGAGAAAAAAGCCGCCAGTAAAATATTCTCGAAAACTTACAATTTTATATATTTTCATTATTTAAAGTGAAATGTTTCAACTATCAACACGATTGGGAGATATCCTAAACTATCCACTGTTTGATCGTATCCGACAATTGATGATATGTATCGAAACAGCTCCAATAAAGGATTTGCAAGCATTCTACCCAATGCTAATTTCACATATTTTTGGATATAGCAAGTCAATTGGATGGGGATTAAGGACAGTAACTGAGAAAAACTCCAACGACTTTAAAATACTCTACGAGTTCTTCCACCCTCATTCATCGTTCTTCCAACTTATCTACAGGTTGTTGAATCAAAGCATTAAATATGAAATGAAAATCAGTGAACTGCCAATAAAACTTCAGCAAATGCTTGAGTCAGGACGATATAACTCATTTTATTCAACAATTGTGAATTTTGATAACTTTCAGCCACAAAACATGTCATTGTCACTGAGTGAGTAACAAATTCCTTTCTTATTTCTCATTATTAAAAAATTTTCTTTTTCCAGACGCATTTGACTTCTTCATGTTCAACTTTTGTATTCATGGAATGAAGAATTTCCATAAAACGTCACAAGCTGCTCTTAATGTCAACAGTGAAGGATCCAAAACAGTTTACTTTAATCTTGCTGCAGATTATCTTTGTAACTTTCTTCCTGCGGATCCAAATGCTGTTGTTTATCCACAAATTGAATGTTCACCAGTCAAGACACAACCATCAATGCCAATGCAAACAAATCAACCAACGAAACCAACCAAATATTTATTGCTATCAGCATTAAAACGACAAATTCAAAGTCCAACAGAATCGCGAGCTGACATTCGACTTCCAGAAGCTGTTAAAAGTTCAAATTGGAGAAGCGAATCTGTCATGATGATTTTTATTGATTGCTGGTTGAGATATGATGTCGATGAATCTTATGATCTTCCTGGTAATGAATTTATTCGATTAGTTAGGATTCTAGTCAAGCAATTGCACTTCTTTGGCAATGTATCCGAACAAGACTTGTCAACACTTTCAGTTCTTCGCCATCAAGCACACATTTTACTGAATTTACGAATGTATCCATTTCTAAAGACAATCATCTCACGCTGGCCGCTTGACACGTCGTTTTTGAATGTTCTGGAGATGTGGCTGTCTTACATTCAACCCTGGCGTTACATTTACAATCGAAACATTCAAAACTTAAATAATGAAATGTTGGATATTCCTGATCGATTCAAAGTCTTCATAAGCGAGAACATCATCAGCTACACACAAATATTTGTTCGGTTGATTCCTCGCTTTCTTAAAATGGATTTAAGTTTGAATAAAAATGCTTTCATGTTGTTTCGTATGATGAAAGTTTTTCGGAAACCGAGTGAGATAATTAAAGAAATTGAGAAGCAGATGAAAAGTAGCAACAACACAACAATTCGTTCTCATAATTCATCTTTACAACACGATCAGTCATCGAGATCGCCGCGTTCATTCTCACCGCAATCTCACTCACATCGTCAGCACAATCACTCAACAATTGATGATAGCAATTACATTTTCATGTTTAATGATGAAATCTCTATGCAAATTTATGAACTTATGAGAAGACTTTACAGCGTTAGAATACGAACGGAACGTGAGGCTGAAAAGATGGAAAAAGAACTTCAAAAACATGCTTCGCTATGGGATAAATTTCTTCAATTGATTGGATGGTTGAGTTCGCTTAATTTATCATTTTCAACAGCACTTGATGAGAAGAAACGAACGATGATGTATTTGGAAGTTTGCTTAAACTTCTTATCGCCAGTCTACAGCATCCCAATCGAAGAAGTTGCCAATGAGGTGGAACAAAATGTAAACTTAGAATCAAGCGACAATGAATGCAATTCGATGAATAATTCTGACGTTCTTAACATCACGCCAAGCTTCATGAAACGACAACTTAAAAATATTTCTTACACTGGCGATCCACTCTTGCTGCCAATTATGAAAAATGAAGTCAAGTGGCTTGTGCGATTTCTTCATCAAATCTCAAATCGTGTTAATGAAATGGTAAGAAATGAAAATTTTTAACTGTTTCAATGTTCTCATCATTGTTTCTTTTCAATTCCAGTTTGAAAATGAATTCAATTTATTATGGAATCGCGGAGACATTTACGGAAGACTTTCCCGACTCTTTCTAACTGAACCAGTTGAAATTCGAATCTTCGACAAATCTGCTGGATATTCGGAACTGAAAGTGCAACAAATTGGACCACGATTAAGTTTACGTAAACTTGCTAAATGGAAAGTCGTCATTTTGCTTTTAACTTCGCTTCTTTTTGGACGTTTATTTCTTGGAGCATCGAGTTTAGGCTTTATGTTGCTTTTCACAATAACTTTTCTCTATGTTTTCGTTAAATCATTGATGTCATCCTAAAATGATTTCTTTTTGACAATAAAATTAAGAAAATAAAACAAAGTTCATCTTTTTTAAACATTTTATTTGATGTTGCAGTAATTCATGAAAGGAAGCTTACAAAATAAGATTTTTATTCTTCTTTTTTTGTGTCCTTATTTGTATTCATTTAATCTTCCTCTTCTTCATCTCCACCACCACCGCCTTGTCCTTTCTTCATGTTCTTTCTCTTAACACGTCCTGGGCGACCGCCTCCGAATGGTGATTTCAATGAGAAATCGATGTGCTTTTGAGAGTCCAATCGAACAACAAACGATGGAATATTCACGACTTGCTTGCGGACACTGAGAAAAGAAATCTTTCATTAATTATCTTAGTAACAAATGAAGTGATTATCAAAGTTAATTGTGAATCAGTCAAATATTTGAAGTCTACATGAGATTTTTCAGACAAGAAGTGTCAGAATAAAATATTTCAAATTTTCATCATGAAAAGAATTTAAATTTTTATCAACCAATGCGTTTTGCTTACCGAATATGTCGTTGACGAATGAGAACTCGAGCATGATGGTAGGATTTAGCCAATCCAAGTTTGAAAACTTGAGTTTGTAAGCGACGTTCAAGGAAATCTTCGATCTTAAGACCCAACACGTAATCGAGCTTCATACGTGATTCATCCAAAACGCCGATACGAACGAGACGACGAAGTAAGGCATTACCTGAAATAAATTCACACTGAATATAAAAATGTGTCAGCAAAAATGTTTGATTCTTACCCTGGAATAATCGTTTCTCATCCTTCTCTTCTAATGTAAGCAACTCACGAGCAGCTTTACGGATTTTAGCGAGAGTGTACTTAACACGCCATACTTCACGCTTATTTCTCAATCCAAATTGACCAATAACTTTCAATTCAGCATCAAGACGAGGCTTTTCGTATGGACGACGTGGTGTAACGTAAGTTTTAGAGAAGACAGATGGTACTCTGTGATTGACCATCTTGACACTTCAAGCGTTCTAAAAAATTCGTAACGAAATTAATAAAAATGATGATGATAAAATTTTGGAAATCGTTTTGAAAGTAAACTTGTCAGGCACGACAACACTAATATAACCTTTAAAATATTTGAAATTTATTATGACTTGATATGAATGAGCTGCATTCTAATAACACTTAGGAATCTTATGGAACCTTTAAAAAGAGTTAAAATAAAAGTATGATATTGTTTTACAACATTTAATAATGTCAAATTAGAAATTTTGTATGAATGTAAACATGCAGCTCTTGTGTTTCATTAAATTCACTTAAGAAACTGCTTCAAAGAGATCAATTTTAATATTTTTCGGTTACTGTTACTGTTATGAAAAAGTGTGCAATTATGCAAGTTTAACTTTCGACATTTTCCTATCAAAATATAATAAAATTTATCGTACTTTAAAATTCTTCTAAAGAATTTTTCGGGAAAGAAAGATGCAAGCATTAAGCGGGGCGTTCAAACTTTTTGCATCTCACATCATATTTAAAAATGAAAGAGTCGTTAAAATGGATAACTTAAATTTAAAACTTCCGGAATTAATTTATTTTAATTAATTTATATTTCTTTAATATAAAGAATATTTACAAAACATTTAAATAAATATATAATTAGCCTTACAACTTATAATTCTAATTCCCAAATAGTTTTTAAGCTTAATTTGAGTTTTTCTGCAATTGATTGAATTTCATCTTCATCTCCATTATCAATTGCAACACGTTCGTAAAGTCTTTTCACTGTTTCTAGTTCTAATAATTTTACAGACTCATCAAACGATGCTTGAGTGGCATTGAATCCAGTTCGTGTAAGAAATTCTAAAATTGTCATGCATATGTCGTCAATATCAATAACACTCGAATCTTGTTCAGCATCAGCTTCATCCCATTCCGACGCCTCTTTTTTCTCTTTCCTCTTATGTTCATCGATAAGTTTCCATATAATGACCATTGCTGAAAAGCATTTCCCATCAAATGGATCGCCAAGTGCTTGAAAAATGTCGTTCACGTTTTCGATTACTCCTTGATGGTTCGACGTCAATGGCAAGAGATGAATTTTACGAGTAAGTGGCAGCAATATTCTTGCAAGGCACAAATTGAACTCCCCAAGATTCTGCTAAAGATCAAGATTAATTTAATAAATGGAAAAAAGGGAAATCTTTCGAAAATCTTACTTTATATGCTTCAACAGACACTGATTCATATTGCGAAAGTATTAAGTTTAGTTCAAGAAACAAGTTCATAAACTTTTGTATGTTTTGTGTAGGGATTAAATCTGTGATTGAGTCAGTGTCATTGAAATCAGGAATGAGCTGCTTGAACGATTCAATAAGACCATCGATGAGGATATTCCGAACGAAAAGTTGTGAAAAACTGGAATCTTTTGGTGACTCGGAGATCTCAATTATGGCAAATTTCGCACAAATGGCATTCAGTGCTTCAGACGAACTAATAATTAATGTATTGCTTGTTGAATTTGAGAGAATAAAAGCAAACTTTTCAACTAAATCTTCACAGATTTGAAAATGCGTGAACCAAACAGCTTCATCGCCAGAATTTTCAAAAAGAATTGCTGAATAAAGTAATCTCATTAGTTGATGTAAAATGAGTGGATCTGATGATGATAACTGAGAAAGAATTATTGCCATTACAGAAGGACTTGCACACAGATATTCTCGAGTATCTTTCAAACAACACATATTTCCGATTATTCCCAACAAAATCTCAATAAGACGCTCATCTTCTGAAGCCTCAATTATGCTAGCAAAAAGCTCCAAGACACTGTATTCCAAAAGAAGCTTAACAACTGCCTTCTCAATCGTCATATCCCAAAGTAAACACAGATTTTTCTCAAAGTTTTCGTCAAGTTCTTTGCGTTCTTTAAGTTCCATCAGAGTTTTCAGTACAAATCTCTCAGAGTATCTATAAATTGGAATTATAAATGAAAAAAAAAATTTTTAGTAACAAATAATAAACAATAACTTACAATGTATCTCCAATGGCATCTCCTTTCATCTTATTCCTCTCATCGTCATTGAGTTCATCTTCTTGAATTAAAACATTAGGAAGAGGTGAACAATCTTTTGAGTTTTCTGATGATTCTCCACAATCTTGAGAATTTTCATTACTGTTGTCTACTTTTTCAAATGTTTGTTTCGTTTCGGTAATTTCATTCATTGTTACAATCGGTTTTCAACGTGTATTTTCAATTAATATTTAATTTGTCTGTTTACTGAAAAATAGACATTAAGAAGCGGAGGAAATATTTAACATGAAAGTCATTCGATGTCTGACTGTCCAAAATTTCAAATTTGTTTCACATTTAATGCTAAACTGATAAATGCTAAAGATTTATTGCTAAGCATATTGTAAACAACATTTTAGGCACTTACGTCTCATTCAATAAAAACATTTTATTCCATTAAAATTATCACTGAGCTTCAAAATGTCGTTTGATACTATTCCGAAGGATTTGAGAGGACTTAGAGCGTGTTTAGTATGTTCTTTAATAAAAGTAAATATAAATATAATCGAGTTTTTACAAAAAAAAATTATAAAATACTTTATTTTCAGACGGTAGAACAATTCGAAATAGATGGATGTGATAACTGTGAATCATTCTTAAGAATGAAAAAGAACAAAGATAGAGTAATGGACGTAACTAGTAATAACTTTGATGGGTAAATTGAAATCTAACAATTGAAAAATCTGAATCCCAATGTAATTTCTCTTATTTCATAGGATGATCGCTGTAATGTCACCAGAAGATTCATGGGTTTGCAAATGGCAACGAATAAGTAGATAAATGACAAACTTTACATTTCGCCTGGATAATTAATGAAATTGTTTTTCAGATCGCTTTACAAAAGGTGTCTATGCCATTTCAGTCTCTGGTCGCCTCCCAAACTCAATCGTAAGAGAAATGAAGAGTCGTGGTATCACATACAGATCTCGAGACACAAGCCAGCGTTAAACAACACCATAAATATAAGATTCCTAAATCTCTACTTTTAAATGTTCCCAACATAAAATTTGATTTCAATAAATTCGTTCTTGTGACAAAATTTTCAAAGATTTCCAAAATTTGTTTTGAAATGCAATTGAAAGTGGAACAACATTTTTCAAAAAGACAAAAAAGTTTTTAATTTTTCTCATTCAGATTGAACTCCTACAGAATAAAAATGTCATTTAATTTTGGAAATACGTCAACATCAGCTTTGGGAGCTACGAGTACGCCTGCAAAGCGTAAGTTTTAAACTATTAAATCAATATTTGAAGGTTAACTTGATAAGTTGATTAAAATGCCGCCAATAAATTTGTTTTTATTTCCGGATTATCTAAAAATGTTTACATTATTCGATTGAATCTGTTCCTAGTTTATTCATCTGATGCTTTTATGATCTCAATCTTCTCTTAGCATCAATGGATGCTCGTCTTTTTAATGCTTCGGCCCTTCGTCTGGAAATAAAAAAAAATTAAGGAAATATCTAATCAAGAACCAGTTTAATATTTAGATACTTTCTGTAAATGTAACATCCAAAAAAAATTAGCAACAGGAAAACACTTGAAACCGCGATTGAGAAAGTTATATAAAAATGTTTGATTTTTTCAGCCGTCATCGTTTCGAATTTACAATCACTCAAAAGTAATTTTCAATTAAAATTTATTTACCCCCAATGATAGAAAAACATAATCTAATTAACAGTGAAATAATTTACATTTGCGCAGAACAATATTTAATCTTAATTGTAAATTTCTTTCATTATAGCTTTTGGATTTGCATTTGGAACAACAACAACTTCAGCTCCTCCTGCATTTGGACAGGCAACAAATACTTTCGCAACTCCTAACTCAGCACCTGCGTTTGGGCAAACAAAGTAAGAGATAAATAATTAATTTTCTTAAATTAAATTAGATAAATAAAATTTCTTCACAATTAGCACAACTTCAACTTTCTCATTTGGGTCGAATACTTTGACGTCACAAGCTCAACCGTTAGCATTTGGGGCAACTGGAACTTCAGCATTTAATTTTCCTGCCACAACATCAACCGCTCCAGCCTTTGGATTTGGATCTGCAGCAACATCGACTGCACCTTCGTTTGGATTTGGTCAAAATAATCCGACATCCCAAGCTCCTTCACTTTTTGGAAATACTGGCTTTGGTGGATTCGGAGCTGCAGCTGCTCCTGCATTCGGAGCAAATACTGGCATGGCTGGTGGTATGAATACGACACTATGTAGGATTTGGACAACAGCAGCAGCAACAACAACAAGTTCAAGGATTGTCACCCGATGAAATATTTTCCAATTCAATTTTTAATGTTTCAATTTATGGCGATGAAAGAGACACAACGTTAGCACGGTGGAATTACCTTCAAGCTCTTTTGGACAAATATTTTTTTGTTGATACTATTGTGATATCTCTGCATGCATTTACCTATTGTTCATACCGATCGTGTTTATCATCTAACTCCACAGAATAAATTTGAAACTGTTTGATAATTGGATTGTTTGTATCCAATTTTTCGCCTTTTTGATTCTGTTTATTTGAATCACGAACACGAATTGTTTTGACGTAAGTTTTTTTGTTTACGAAATGACATGATAAAGACGTATTTATTTATATTAGGTATTTAATTTTAACAAATAAAAGTTTGCTTCAATATTTTAATAA